TTTTTTTTTTTTTTTTTTTTTTTTGTATTTTTAGACTTTTGAATGATTAATATGCATTGAACTTGTGCTAATGGATTAATTACTATTTATGGATATATTGGTAATTTATTAAGGTATTTGGTTTCTAAAAGTTTTATGTCCTTTGTGTATCGAAGAATGTGATTTTATTATCAAATATTTCTATTTTTACTTATTGAATTTGTTGAGTTCAAGAGTTTTTTTTATATCATAATGAAGTTATACTTTTTTATACTCATATTATCGGTGTAAATTATTTATTAACGACTGAAAAATTTAATTGGTTATTTTTAATTAAAAAAATTAATTATATATATTTTTTATCTATAAGACTTGAATTTAAAACATTATTTAAAAGGATGAATTTAATTTTATTTTGATTAACAATTTGTTAAGTGTTATAGGAGATGTTAAATTATTGATACTTGGAATGAAATAAAATTAAAGGAGTTGTTAAGTGTTTTGATGATATTTTAATTATTTTTTATAGAAATTTTGACACGTCAATTTACCTCTTTACTGAGGTGAATCAATTCATTTGTTCACTTTAAGCCTAATCATTTACTGTTTTACTTTTGATCATCACTCAAAAGGTTTCTCAATTATTGAAGTATGAGTGTGTTTTATAAGTTACTATTTTTTTCTTATTTTATCGATGTGAGACTTGTTTGTATCTCAACAATCCTCTCCTCAGATAAGGGACCTAACCTTTCATACATCAAAATTTGTCTTTATATTTATCACATTATCAATTATGAGTTATGAAGGGTTATAAGGTTTGTTACCGAATCCAACCTAGCGATTCTGATACCACTGTTGGTATTATTTTATGATATTGTCTAAGGAGTTATTTTATAAGAGTTATTTTTTTTATAAGATTATTTTACATACAACTACACAATGATGAGATATCGTTCACTTTGGACCTAAGCCCTCACGGTTTTACTTTTGTTCATCACCCAAAAGGCCTCTCAATCATTTATGGGGTTATTATTTTGTTATGATATTTGTCGATGTGGGACTTGTTTGTATCCCAATACCTACTAAGTTTCCATTCCACTCTTTGGCAAACCAATTCACCTCTAAATGAGTTTGATTATGTTTTCCAACTTGTTTCATCCGGCAAATCAACTTATTTTTTCCCTTCTCATCCCACTTAAGACAGGTTGTGAGCAGGTCAAAATAGGTTAGGATGTTTTGCCACTCATTTATGTGCCAGCTCACTCTATTTATGTCCAGCCATTTTTTGACATGCTAACTCACTTATAAATAGAGTATTATGTTTTTCAATCTAATGTTTTTTTATGGGATAACTTACTCCACTTGAGTTGGACATGATATGTTTTTGAACCCACTTTTTTTTTTTTTTTTTATCAAATCAATCCATCCACTTAGGAGACATTTGGTAGGGGAGAAGTTTTTTATACATAGGAATTATGATTCTTGGAAATAGCTAAAATATGTTTGACTACTCATAAAAATTCTTAAGAATATTCATACAGGTTTTTTGAAAATTAAAGATTTTCGTATTTGGTTATAATAGTATATTCTTGGGTATATAAATATTTTTAACAAAAATATCCTTTATTAAAAGAAGCTCATTAGGTATATTTATTTACTCAAGTCTTATTACAAATATGATATTAAACTATTTTAAAAAGTTTAAAAATCATGAAAATTATTTAAATAGATAATTCAACAAAAAAAAGGGAAAATGCTACATTATAATTAAGAAGATAAAAAATACATTATTTCATATCATTTAAATAAAAAAATTAAAAAAATGTTAACAAATACCATTAAAATGTATAAACAAAATAGACTTTAATAATATTATTAAAATTAACATGAAAGGTCAAGAAATAATGATATATAAGAAGAAAAAAAAAAAGAAATAAAAATATGGGAGGAAAAGAGAGAGAGGAGGGGGAGAGGGAGAGAGAGAAAGAGAGATAGAAGGAGGGGAAGAGTGAGAGCGAGAAAGAGAGAGAGAAAGAAAAATAGAATAAGAGAAAAGTTTTCTTCTTCTTCTTTTTTGTTTTAAAAAGGGATAATATAATCATTTTTATAAATAAAACTCTTTCTTAATTCAAGAAAGTTGAATTTTCACTTCTCATGAAATTTTTTTGTGAGAAACTAGGATAAAAATGATTATTAAAAAATTATATTTTACATGAAAAACCAATATTTTCTATTTAAGATTTTTTTTTAAAAATAAAGATATTTTGTATACCAAATATTCCTTAAGGTATGTTATAAGTGGATTAAAGTAAATTAACCTACTTTGTAATCCTTATTAATATTATTTTGTTTATTGTCCATTAAAATGACAGGGTTAGATAATCCTTTCCTCAAAAGAATTATGCCATATTGTTATTGTGAAGATCTTGTAGTACTTCCACACCATGAAAACTTTTTGTAACAAATGCACGTGACGGTAAAAAAGAAAATTACAAGACAAGTTCTATTAGGTTCAAAATTAGCGGGGTGGGGGTTGGTTTCCAAAACGTGTTGAATTAATTACATCATTTCCGATATAAATCACAACTTTTACGAGCAAAATCACGTTTCCAACACTTTCAAGATTATTTTTTTTGAAATTACATACAATTTTAAGCCGTCAGCATTATTAATATTATATTTTCTGTTGTCAAATTTGATTTTTAGGAAGAAACTATGCAATAATGCTATTTTTAGGAAAAACATGAATATTCATACAAAAAGTATAATTTTAAAATGATATACTATCAAATTCTATCCTTTTGTTATTTTTTTGGGTTGCGCGTGTATTAACTAGACATAATAATATTTTCACCGAGACATGCGATTACCAGATACTGATCTATTTAATTACATGTAAATTAAATAAAATGGACTTAGTAATCCTTAGGCTTAGGATTAACTTTGTTGTCCGAATGAAAATCTAAAAATGATTAAATTTAATTAATAACAATTTTTTTATTAGCACGGGATAGAAAAACACATGAAAAATTGTTGTCTAAACATTTTCGCATGCGAAAGAGTTGTTAACGCTAAATACTTGGAATTTTGTTAGATTTTAGGTAGCGCTAAAAAATCTATACGCATCCGGTTAAATAACCGTGTAATGATGATTATTGTATTTAACTATTTAATATTTTAATTCTAAAAATTATCATTTCAGTCCTTTGGCTCTCTTACCAATGCCAACATTTTAATAAGTAAAGTGGCTAAATAAATAAATAAACATTGGCCGAATGAAAAATGTCATATTTCATCGTTCTGTTACTATCATTATTATTAGCGCTTTTATTTCGATTAGAAAAAACCTGGTGAATTAAAAGAGTAGATTTCAGTATCGCAAATGCCATACTCGAAAACAAAAAAAATAAAAAAGATAAAAAATAAAATAGATCAAGACCACAAAAAAGAAGTAACTTTCAAAATATGCTGCCAAGGTGGCCCACAGTATATTTATGCATGGATATAACTGCCAATTTAAAAAGTCCAATCCACCCCTTCTGGATAAAGCTCCTAGATATTAAAGGCAAAACAAAGAACCACCTTAAGAAAAAAAAAAAAAAAAAAGTCTAAAATCCATGAACCCAATTTACCATTACACCCTTTCATTTTGAAACACAGAGTTCTTACGGTCCACCTCCTCCGCAGCAGAAAAAAACCCCTACCGTCAGTCATATTGGCAAGGCTAACCTCACCCGCGAACTAACCCATCGTCATGTGAACCCGAAAATTAACATCATTATTTTCATAACCCTAAATATCCCAACCCAACACCGAAATAAAAATAATAAAAAGACAACAACAAATTACGATAATCACAAAAGACATTGAACCCCAACCCTCGATTTTACTATATCTCCCCACCCCTACATAGATACCCACCCAACACCCTCACATGAGCGATTTCAGCGACCTTGCTTTCACGGGCTTCCTCATTCGCTTCTTCCCGCTATCGTCTACCTCTTCCTCGTCATCATCCACATAATCGATTATCCCCTCATTATCCATCTCCGAAACCGAAGTACCACCCCCCACACCCGCCACATTATCGTTAATATCATCCACCGCCACATCCTCCGACTCCACCGTCGAATTCAAACCACTCTTGCTCCCTTCTCCGTTCCTATCACCTCTTCGTTTGCCCCACAAGGGCCCAAACCCCGAATAATAGTAGAATTCGTAAGGGTTGGAGCTCCCCGCCGCCGCCTTCTTCCCCGCCGCACGAGACTTGGAACGCCGAGTTCCGGTGGCGGAGGATTGAGCTTGAGCTTGAGCTTGAGCTTGAGCTTGAACCTGAGCTTGAACCTGAGTTTGAGGCTTCTTGTTGTATGGAACGGACAAAGACAAAGACAAATGTTGGTTGCAAAACGATTGCCCTTGGCTGGCTTCCACCTTACATGGCCAACCCTTGTTATCAAATTTCTGACAAGGGTTGGGCATGGGTGCGGTGGCGCCGATATTCATGGTCGCCACCTTGTTATTATTTAGTGGCACTATCGTCGTCATCGCGTGGTGGGAGTTATCGGTATCCATGATGGAGGCGAGGCTGGTGGTGGTGGCGCGCGAGAGCACGATAATAATAATAATAATAATAATCGGTATGGAATGAAAAATTCGGAGAATTAAGTTGATGTAATAAGAATAAAAACCCTAACTGGAATAGGGATAGAGATTACGTTGCGTACCTTTCTACGGGGCCGAAGGAGTGGGGTGCGGTGCCATTGTTTCCCGCGGGGAAGGTGGGGTGGAGTTGGAACTGAGGAAGAAAGGGGAAGAGTGAGAGTGAGAAATGAGGGATAGGGGTAAAGCGTAAACCTAATTGGGAAGCGAGGAGAATTTAGGGTGTTGAACCCTAACTGCGAGAGGAGGAAACCCTAAATGAGGGTGGAGATCTAGGAGGAAGAGGGAATAATGAATAGAGAGAAGCGAAGAGATTGGAAGAGTTAGGAACCTGGATCGAGTCGGAGTCGAAGGGGATCACATCCCATGGAGACTGGTTGAGCTGGCACACGTGCGTCTCCACCGGAACCGAACCACCTTCTACGCACGACGAGAACAGAAGAGGGGAAAGCTTGGCGTTCTTGCGGATCCTCATCTTTCTTTCTCCGATCAAAAGATAGGTTTAGATTTTATGTAATCTCTGGGGACTCGGGGAGGGAAAACACACACCAACACACCAACACGCTCTTTCTTTCTCTTTGCTGCAGATCTCTCACTCTCTAATCTCTATTTCACTCACTCACTCACTCACTCACCTCTCGATGATAAATAATCAGGGTTTTTGCTTCCTCGCTCTCGCTCGCCCCTTCATTCATGTTTCTCTTCCTTTTTTCTTCTCACCATTTTGCCCTTAGGTTTCGGATCTATTTACTCAACGAATCGCTCTAAAGGAACCCCTGCCGCTAGCTACATCCACGTCACTCTGGGTTGTCCTAAACACATTAATTTATTGTTTTTCTTACCGAATCATCCCCTACATACAACCCACACTAAACTCCTATGCATCCATCGCATTCTCATTTTTCCCTCTCGCAACACTAGTTTTTATCAATGTCTCCGGGTTATTTTTGGAACAAAGTTTTCTAATGGATAATTATATTTACGATAATTTTCACTATTCGGCAAACTAATTTTTTTTTAATTTTTTAATTTTTTTTGTTTTTGTCTAGAAATGGAGGCGCGTGTGTGAGACGCAGGAAATCTTGCCCCTGCGTGCGGTAGGAGTGGCCAACAAGAGTGGCCCACAGAAAAAATGGCTGGACCATTGTACTTGATTGGGACCCATTTGGAGCCTAAAAGGATGAACGGTTCTGATGATGGAAACGGAAGTAATGTGAGGGACTTGCATGAAAAGTTTAAAACTTTGGGGTATCTGATACCAAACACTCCACCCTTTGCAATTGCAGCAACACATAATACGTGGCACTAAAACCTCGATTCATTTCCCAACCAACATATACGCATCACCCTCGCCGTTACCCTTGCAATTATAGGACTTGTCTCTTATTACCATTTCCCTCAATTCTTTTTTCAGTTCTACCCATATTTTATATATATATATATATTTTTTAGTTTCTTTTTTCTTTCTTTCTTTAACGTTTATAACTGTTGGCGAATTTATTGACACCCCAATGGTCAACCCCGAAGGAATTCAATTTAGCCATGAGTGATTCACATTTAACCTTTTGGCATGACCAAATGGTAGGGCACCTAGGTAACAACCACGGTTGATAAAAATATTGAAACCAAAATAAATAAATTAATCTATTCGGAATTACACCTAGGGCAAAAGTATAAAAAAAAGGACAATTTTCAGTTCTCTGTCTGTGAAGTAGTATTTATCATATATTATATATAAATATATAAGCTGTGTGATCCGAGCCCTCGCAAGTGTATGGCACTATATATATATATACCTGACCCTTTTTTCTGTAAAAATGACTAAACACAAGCACTAGTTTGTGGGGCACACAGGGATGAAAAGAGTTGCAGCCAATTTGTGCAGCAGGTGTGGGTAAAGACTAAAAAGAGTAATATAATAGAAAGCACACACCTTTTTTAATCTCCTTTTCTGTCTCTCTTTTTTTTTCTCAGTCTTCCCCCGATAATGAAAAAAAAAAAAATACAACAAAATCTATAACTCTAGTTGTTTAAATAAGGCTACTCCTTGTCTTCATCATACGAGATCTGTGCTCATCATTTTTTCTTATTGAAGTATACGAGTGTTACAAAATATATCCTTTTAATACTGAAGCCACGAGAATAATAATAATAATACGTTATATATATTTGATTATTTGGCTTACTTCATAAAGTAATATATCAATCATGACGATAGTATTTGGAAAGAGATAGCTCACAATTAAAAAAAACGTTATTTTAGAAACAGGGAAACCCCTAACCAGATAATTAAATAAAAACGATGCCAAGACGTACGCATACAAGTGAACCCTTCCACGTAGAAATTCTTGTGTGCAATCTTTCTTCTGTTTAACCTTTTCACCTAATACCAAGATTCATTATTTCATGTAACCACTTTTCGCCATTCTTACTCTGCGAGTTTTATTAGCCAAACTATGAGACTAAAAAGTTGCTACTGAAAATTACTATATATTTATATATAAATAATTAAATTAATCTTAACCTTTCATATACATATAATTGTATCATCAAGATTTATTGTTTTTGTGAAAATAAGTAATTAATTAAGATCAGTCTCATTAACACATGCATATATATTTTTTGTTAATTTCAGGATATTCAACCGATAGTCAAATACTAATATATTAAGATATGAAGATTCATTTAAAGAATTAATCTTTTTTAAAATATGTTTATTCATATATATATATGCAGACCTAAAATCAAATTTCTAATTACATACTTAAAAAAGTATGATCATCTATTAATTATGTCAGGCTTTATCGATATATTTGTGATCCTCTTGGATTTGCTATATGTGGAGGATAAATGAACAGAAGAAACAGAGTTTGGTTGAGTTTCGTCTATATCATTACATTTTATTTCTTCTGGTTCTTTGCTATGTATAACATCTAGCTAGCTGCTATACATTGTCTCACTAGTTAACAAGAAACAGGGTTTCTTTCTGTTTGTTTTGTTTTGACAGAATTTATAAATGCAGCGAACAGGATATCGTTCTTTCCGCTTCCTGTATATCAGGGAACCCAATCATACGAAGCCACAAATTCCCAGGTATATATTTTTATTTTTGCAATTTCATTGTACTGATAATAATAGTGGTAGTAATAATAATAATAATAATGTTCTACTGAAAACAGGAAACTGTTCAGCAGACTCAGCACTATTTCTGGGATCTCATGAACTCCGTGGCAGCATATATCTTCCACAGAAACACCAAGAATTCCATACGAACCGATCTCTGTGGTTTCTGTTTCACTCAGCAGGA